CCTGCTCAGTGGTATACACTACGGTTGATTTTGTAGGTTCTGTACTAACCCGTTCTCATGCTGCTGTGAAGAAATACCAGAGACTGGGTAATTTATAAAGAAAAGAGGTTTAATTGACTCACAGTTCCACATGGCTGGGGAGGCTTCAGGAAACATACAATCATGGCGGAAGGCACCTCCTCACAGAGCAGTGGGAGAGAGAATGAGTGCCAACAGGGGAAATGCCAGATGCTTATGAAACCATCAGATCTTGGGAGAACTCACCGTCATGAGAACAGCATGAGGGAACGCGCCGCGTGCCTCCACCCCATCCCGTCCTTGACACGTGGGGATTATTACAATTCAGGGTGAGATTTTGGTGGGACACAGAGCCAAACCATATCACTTCCCCTGTTATTTAGTGCGTAATTGTAATACTGTGAATATAATAGGTGGCAGTCACTCATTTTAATCCATAAAGGTACAAAGCGGTTACATATCCTTAGATGCCATCACACATGTCCACGGGCCTTTCCTGTGCTCCAGAGAAGCCCCATGCCTGTCTTTTCCTCCCTGCTCCTTTAGTTTCCGATGGCCTTGAGATGCCAGGCCAAGGAGGAAAACCTGAGACTCCTGGTGACAGGGTGTCCTCTGTCTCCATCCATCAGCGCTGACCCTAAACCCTGGCATTGCTTCATCTCTTCATCTTCTGTGTTTCCCTTGGCTTTTCTCCACCTTGATGAAGATTTCTTTTAAATCTTTTGACTCCTGAAGTCTCTGCTTGGGGCCTGTAGGTGGAGATGGTTGATGAGGAGGGGCCCTGAGGTATCAGGGAGGGTGTGCAGCTTGTGGGATCCCCTCCTTTCCTGGGCGACGAGATGCTTGCTGGCTTCTTGCACACTTGACTTCCATTGTTTTTCATGGGATTTCCTTGCTGTATCTGGACTCAGATGATACAGATGAAGGTTGTCAGGTAGGCAGTAGTGGAAGGCTGACACACAGAGGAGCTCAGTGTTTGGGAGAATCGAGTGGCTTAATTGCAAGAAAGGCTGTCTTGTGAAGTAATTACCTCCTGACTGAAGGAGTCATTTAAGCAGCAGCTCCAAGTAAGACTCCACATTGGGCTAGAAGGTCGAAGGGTGACCGACTAGATGCCTTCCTGCTATAAGCCAAGGACTGGCACTCTTCAGTAACCATCACAACCCTGTGAAATCCCTTTTTGTGAAGAAGGGAAACGGACTGATAGACTTGTCCAGCTGCAGGCAGTCAGTGGCAGAGCGCAGCTGTGAGCCCAGGTCCTCCTGGCTGCAGAGGCCAGCTCTTTACCTGTCGCCATGCTGCTATGCAGGTGCCGTTGGCAGTGTCCGCTTCCCCCTGGGGCTGGAGACTTTGGAGGAGCCATTGCCTGTAAACCTTTAACATTGGGAGAAACGCGCCCCAAGACCTGTGAATCTCCAAATTTAAAAGTAATAGAATAACTTTTCTTTCAAAAGATACAGTATCATAAAAGCATTTATGTGGTCCCTCCAAACTTTTTGAGAGCTAATGTTTCCAGGTATTAGTAAGGACCGCCAGTGCTAACACACTACATTAAATCAGTAACTGTGTGTTCGGGGAGCCACTGACTGCCTGATGTCATTGTGACCTGTAGATGAGCCAGCGGGAGCTTCAGGGATTTCTTGTCAACACTCCTTCCTTCCTTTTCCTTTCCCTGTAGTCAGGTGTTTGTTGGAGGCTACACTGTGTGGTGAACTACTGTCTTGTAACTGACTGTTTGAAAATGTACTTGAAGTGTAAACAGACTGGAATGGAGAACATTCAAGGATGATCTTGTTTCTTTGTAGCAGTGGACAGGGAGGGGCTGATTAGGGTGTAAGTAGATTTTGAATAATTGTGCCACTTTTTAGTTTTTCTTCTTGGACTTACACATTAGGATTGGGTTATGGAAATTTGGTTTTATGATGATAAAAACCTTTTATCCAGATGAAATAAAAAAATTAATGTTCTTTGTTCTCTTATGTAGATCAGTTATTTGTTTTTAAAGGCTATGATGACATAAACATAAAACACCTACCAAGATTGGCAGTGAAAGTTGTAACCCATTTGTAAAATCAGGAATACTAAGTACTCCTTTAATGATGCAGTGAATAAAGTGTCTGTGTCCGCGAGGCGCGGCAGTGAGTCCTCTTTGTTTTGCTGTGCTCGAAGGCGGGCAGTGTAGGGATTGAGTGGTACCAGTGTTTGACTGCACTTGCCTCTCCACGCCTCGTGACCCTCGGGAAGCTGGCACTGGCTGAGCTCAGCTCTCTGGGCCTTTCTTCAGCGCTGTGGGTTGTAAAAGCTGCCTTTTCTCTGAAAACTGCGTGCGTCCTCTGGGTTCCCAGCATTGGGGGGATGGAGCTGTGGCCGCCAGGCTGTGAGGTCTCATGGGGTCCTGCAGCAGCCAGAGCATGCAGAAGACAAGGAGGGGAAGAAAGGTGGTAAGTGGCTCCCAGGGCTGCGCCCTGAGGTCAGGAAGGCCAACAACCTCCTGGCAGAGGGAGTGGGCACCCCAGCTGGAGCCCGGGAGCCAGGCCTGGCTATGTGTTTGAGGAAAAGTTAAGTGTATCTTGCATTGTTTGGTTGGGAGTAATACAGGAGTTGTGTTTAGCACCCTATTTGAAAATAGTGTTTCAGACTATTTGTTGGATTAACCAACTTAACTATGTTAACAAATGTAGCCTTTTGGCAGAGGCTCTTTGGAGTTGTTTTTGGTGCTTATGGGAAGCTTTCATTTCTACAACTAGTGCTTAGTGCTGTGACGGACAAAAGGTCACTGTATTTTATTCTTCTATTATTCGTGCTAGTGATAGTTTCTAGTGGCTGCTTTCTTATCTCACATAGGAACATTTTTCTCTTTGAAAATAAGTATATAGGTCTTTAGGTGTGCAATGAGCAGTATTGGTAAGTTGGTATCCAATATTTGTAATTAAGAAGCTAAATCATATTTCCTATCTTTAACACTGAAAAGGCCTTTTCTGATACGTCTGCGACAGATCTTACTTTATCTTATTTAGCTCGACATTGCATTATGCTTGACTAGCTTTTCCCGTTGCTTTGGAGGACAGGCCTGGTTTAGAGTAGTGTCTCTGGGTTGGGGTGGCTGGCATCACGGTTTGCCTCTGCTCACCAGACCTGTGACATTTGTGTTCAATGGGAATTTTATAGAAGGAAGACATTGTGGTTGTGGGGTCAGCATTTCCCCCGAAGAGCCAGCCCCCTGCAGGGCCCCTTGCTCTGGCTCTCCCACGGTCGTCTCCCATGAATAGATCCCTTCAGGGATGAGCCGGAGCTCCTTGTCACCAGTGGAAGAGCCTCTATTTTTTTTGCCCAAGTAGTTTAGTAAGTGATTTAATCAGATTTGCATTTACTCAGGAATGACTGTACTCTTTCTCAGAGTTTACAGTCAACAGTAGCAAACAGAATAATGACCCGGGTTGTCTTTACTAAAGCTGAAATTTAAATTTAACTTGATGACTTTTTTCTTAAATGTTTAAATTTACATTTGGATTGTCAAAAATTATGGGGACAAACTGAGCATGTTTAATATCTTGATTACTTCTGTACGATTTCTTTTGTATGAGTAATTGAGAATGTATTGTTAGCTCTGGGAGACAAATAGCACATCGCATGTACTAGATGTGCAGAAAATACATGTAATGTGATTTTCTGATTTAAAAAGCACTAGCTCTGTGACAGAGTTGGGTGAGAAAGAATGGAGGCAAGGATTCCGCTTTCTTCACTTATGTCTGGTCCTTCAGGATCCTCAGCACGGTCCTCAGTCTCATGCCAAAGAAGACAGTGTGGTGCGGCGCAGTGGCAGGAGGACCTGGGGCCGCGGTCTGGCTCTGCTTTTCCCAGCTGTTTGAGTTGGGAGAAGTCAGCTTCTCTAAGAGGAAAGGTTGTGTGTGCACAGCACCTTGCTCAGTGCCAGGAGTGCGAGGAGCACCTGCAGTTCACATCCAGGTGCCTTCTCGTCCCGTCCTGGGCTGGGCCTTTGCTGCAGTGATCGCTGGTGGAAAGCATTCCTGCTTAGTTTCGCCAGTTTTGCACTTTATATTTGTCTGTCAGTTTTTAAGACTTAAATTATTTTGGCTAAATTTGCTACACTAATGCAGGGTATTGGGAACATTTTAATTTTAAGGTTAATTTATAATTATTTTGCTATCTTTAAATGAAGTAGTAAAGATTGTTTACATGGATAAACCTTTAGTTTTTAATCAATGTGGTAATAACGTGTCTGAGACGGTCATATTCACAAGGGAAAGTCTGTAGTTCCCAGAAATTGGTTTCAACTTTTAGGTGCAATCTAAAGACTAAACTGTTTTTTTTTTAGTTGAGAGTAATGTTACATATGTTAAAATACATAGATTTTAAAGGCACAGTCCAGTGAGCTTTGACAATGTATATATCTGTTGTAACCGCTACCCAAATCAAAATACAGAACCTATTTATCACCTTAGAAATTTACCTCATTCTCCTTTCCCTGTTGTCCCCGCCCTGCATCCTACCCTTTACCTCTTCTGATTTCCGTCACCATAGATTAGTTTTGCCATCTGTTAGACTTAATATAAATGGAATGATGCAGGATGTCCTTTTTGGGAATGGCTTCTTTTGCACAACACAGTGTTGTAGAGATTGATCTGTGTGTCCATGCAGTTGTGATTCTTGGCGACTTCTCCTTTTTATCTAAACAGACGTGGCGTCTGATGATGGAATTCTTCCTTCATCCTAGGTATACCTGTGTCAGATATGGTTAGCAGTAAGATAAAGTCAGTTGTGTGGCCTTAGTAATAATTCATTACATGGGTTTAATAGTCAATAATCACAAAGATACTGTGATTGTGATACTCCATACTTGAGTATTACATAGAAGTAATAGTATGAATTGAACAATGGTGATGAACTGTCCAAAGTATATAAATCTTAGAGTCAAATAGCAATTGAAATGTCAAATAACACTTATTCATCGTTTATTATAGGTGCTACAGAATATTTTAGAAACAGAAAATGAATATTCTAAAGAACTTCAGACTGTGCTTTCAACCTACCTACGGCCATTGCAGACCAGTGAGAAGTAAGTTAGATGATAAATTGCATTAACTGTAAATAGTCTAAACCTTAGGCTATTCTCTTGTATTTTCAGAAAATAGAGGGTTAAATAGTAAAACAGAATTTAGAGTATCAGTTTGCCTTAGACATCAGCAGTTTATTAGGTTAAGACTTCAATAGGACATTGGGATGGCAAAGGAGAAGAATATAAGTAAAACTGTTTACATATGTTTACTGTTATTTTTCTTGGCTCTAGGTTAAGTTCAGCAAACATTTCATATTTAATGGGAAATCTAGAAGAAATATGTTCTTTCCAGCAAATGCTCGTACAGTCTTTAGAAGAATGCACCAAGTAAGTAAGATGCTAAAAATTTGCAAAACTCAGGTTGGTATAATTGGTATTTAAAGGATTAAGTGTGAAATAATTTTATAATTCACATTTCTAAAGATGCAAACTTATTTTAAATCAAATCAGCTTTTATAGTAAAAGCTGTATTTTAGACTATCTAGTTTGTATAGCAGGAATCTTCAGAGAAAGACTCGACAAGAATGGTGATTTTTAAGGTGTTCCGTGGAGGAAGAGTAGGGATGAAGAGCCTCTGGGAGAGAAAGGAGAATGGCTTGACATCAGGACCACTGAGGGGACAAGTGACTCAGCTCCTTGTGTGCCCTGGGTGCTGCGCAGGGGCCCTTGAAGGCCAGGTCTTTCCAGCAGCATCCTGTAGCTTGCCTGCTGTTTCTGGCCTTCCAGAAGCAGACGCAGTGCTTCTTGAAATAACGTGTTAGGTTGATGCAAAAGTAATTGTGGTTTTGGACTGTGAATTTTAAACCATGACTAGGCTCAGACACATCTTTATTAATCAAGATCCATTCCAGTCAACACATTTTTGCCAGTGAGAAATAAGTTTTATCCCTGTAGCGTAAAAATCTGTGCTTTGGGATTTGACAAACTTGGAAAGCACTTTCTGCATTCTGCTGGTTGTCAAAGCATTTTCCATGCAAAAAATTGGCAAGATGCTTGAAGAAGTGGTGGTCAGTTGGTGAGAGGTCAGGTGAATATGGCAGATGAGGCAAAACTTCACAGCCCAATTTTTCCACTTTTGAAGCGTTGGTTGTGTGACGTGCGGTCGGGTGTTGTTGTGGAGAAGAATTGGGCCCTTCCTGTTGACCAATACCGGCTGCAGGCGTTGCAGTTTTCAGTGTATCTCATTGATTTGCTGAGTATGCTTCTCGGATGTAATGGTTTTGTGGAGATTCAGAAAGCTGTAGTGGATCAGACCGGCGGCAGACCACCAGACAGTGACATGACCTTTTTCTGGTGCAAGTTTGGCTTTGGGAAGTGCTTTGGAGTTTCTTGGTCCAACCACTGAGCTAGTTGTCACTGGTTGTCGTCTAAGACCCACTTGTTGGCGTATGTCACAATCTGATTGAGACATGGTTCATTGTGTAGAATAAGAGGTGACATTTCAAAATGATGATTTTTTTGATTCTCACTCAGCTCATGAGGCACCCACTTACTGAGCTTTTTCAGCTTTTCAGATTGCTTCAAATGCTGATCAACTGTATAATGGCCAATGTTGAGTTCTTCAGCAGCTTCTCGTGTAGTTGTAAGAGGATCAGCTTCAGTGATGGCTGTCAGTTGGTTGTTGTCAACTTCCGACGGCCGGCCACTCCGCTCCTCATCTTCAAGGCTCTCATCCCCTCTGCAAAACTTCTTGAACCACCACTGCATTGTGTGTTCATTAGCAGTTCCTGGGCCAAATGCGTCGTTGATGTTGGAAATTGTCTCCCCTGCTTTATGACTTAGTTTGAACTCGAATAAGAAAATCACTCAAATTTGTCTGTTGTCTAACATCATTTCCATAGTCTAAAACATAAACAGCAAGTAATAAGTCATTAGCAAAAAACCGTAAAGCGAAATATGCGTTAAAATGATATATAACTACATTTATTTAAGAATGTATTCCAGTATCAGATGGCGAATTTCAACAATGCAAAAACCACAAATACGTTTGCACCAACCTGATATAACATGCTATGTTGATGAACTAGGGCTTTGAGGCTTTGTCCTTTTCTGAAATTTTCCTTTGGAGGGACGGAGGGAGGCATGTTCTGAATAATCAACCATCAGTTTTTTTCTGTGTGACTATTTTATGTTCTTTGTTTACATCAGGCATTAAAGGATATTTGTTAATTTCCTGCCAGGTGACTTAAAACAGTAGTGCACATGGAAAATTTTAGGTTTTAGTAGTCTACCAGGCGATATTTCTTTACTTGTGGATTTGATGAAGTCGACACATTTTATTTTTAAATTATCTCTGATCTTTAGTCCTATAACCCCCAGAAAAGATCACAGTACATTATTCCCTTGGGTTTCGGTTGTTCTCTGGTTTTCCCTTCAGCTTGTGTCTTTAGGTTTTGAACGTGATGAGGGAGTGGCCTTCCTTTTGTGCCACTAGTTGTTGCAGTTCATGACAGTTTACCAACCATGATGAAAATACTTTGTTCCCTTAACTTTTTGGCTGGGCTTTGAGGTTTTGTCAAGGCACTTTATACTGGACTATCGATATGGCAAGGAAAGCTGAATGCCAGAGTAACAGAAGATTATTAGAAACCGTAAGTGAATATTCCATAGAACTTCAGACTGTATTTTCAGCCCATCTGCAGGCCATTGTTTTTACTTTTATAGCATTTTTGGTTTGCACAAAGTGGCATTATTATTAATTTTTTATTTTTAATTATACCTTGTGTTCTAGGGTACATGTGCACAATGTGCATGTTTGTTACATATGTATACATGTGCCATGTTGGTGTGCTGCACCCATTAACTCATCATTTGCATTATTTACATGACCATGAAAGAACAGCTTGGGAATCACTTTGATTTTCTTTTGGTGAATGAAGGTCATTTGCTAATAATTTGAAGTCTTTGTAAGGGTTCATATTGTGTTCAAAATGGAAGTAAATGCTTGTCTCCATTTTTCTCACTGGCCGCAGAGAGTGTGGTCTAACAAATTATTACAGTACATTTTAAAAACACAGTTTTCAGTACCTCTGTTGGGCATTATATTAGCCCCGTGAATTATTATCCTCACGTTACTGATTAAAAAGCTGAAATAAAGGGCAGTAAAGTAATAGGCTTGAAGCCATATGTTTAAGGCTTCAGTCCTTATATTATCTCAGAATTTGGTATGGCTTAGGTATTATTTTGATCAAGTTTCTCAAATTTATGCTACATGTATATGAGGTGTTAGAGTTCCACGGGGAAATGGAATGTACAGGACAAAGTTTTCCTTCTTAGCTATTTCTCTTCTTTTTTATTATGAATATTCTGAAATTTTCATCATTCCCATTTTTAAGATTGTTACTTTCATCTTTTTGTCCTATGTGTGAAATTTCGGTACCATTTTACAGTCTACCAAAGGCCGTATATATACACACATACATATACGTGTGTGTGTGTGTATATATATGTATACACACACACACACACATATATATATGCGCATATATGCAACAGTTTCTTATTCATTTTTTTTTTTTGGATACGGACTCTTGCTCTGTTGCCCAGGCTGGAGTGCAGTGGTGTGATCTCAGCTCATTGCAACCTCTGCCTGCCGAGTTAAGTGATTCTCCTGCCTCAGCCTCCCAAGTAACTGGGACTACAGGCGTGCACCGCCACTCCCGGCTAATTTTTGTATTTTTAGTAGAGATGGGGTTTCATCATGTTGGTCAGGCTGGTCTTGAGTTCCTGACCTCAAATGAACCACCCGCCTCAGCCTCCCAAAGTGTTGGAATTACAGGCGTGAGCCACCATGCCTGGCCTTCATTTTCATTATTTCTTTTGATTTCTTTTTTTTTTTAATCTCTACACGGGCTTGATTCCTAAACGTCCAGCCCCTTTCACAGCTGCCTGTTGGTTAGACCCAGGAGTTGGCAAACTATGGGCTGGGTCAGATTCCGCCTACCACCTGTTTCTATAAACAAAGTTTCACTGGCACGTGCTGTACGTTTTCATTCAGCCATGTTAATGGCTGTGTTTGTACTACAGTGGCAGCACTGGAGTTGTGATAGAAACTGTCTGGCTCACATACCTCAAATATTTACTCCTTGGCTTTTTATAGAAAGCTGGCTGACCCAGGTGAGATGTGCTTTCTCCCTTGGGACCTCGACCTAGCCCTAACCTCTCCATTGCCTGTGCGTTCTGAGGCCCACGTTTGTTTTCTCAGTATTTTTGCCATGTAGGATGTCTGTCTTCCCTCCTGAAAATTGAAGTTTCTATCTGGTGTCATTTTTCTTCAGGCAGAGGAACGCTTTAGTTTTTTGTAATTCAGGTGTGTGACTGACAAAAACGATGTTGGATTTTGTTGTCTGAAAATGCTGCCTTCGTTCCTGAAGATTTTTTTTAATTCCCCCTGGATACTGAACTCTGGGTAACAGATTTTTTGTTTCAGCATTTGAAGGCTATTGCTCCACTGTCTTTTGGCCTTCGCTGTATCTGGTGATTGTCTGGTGACAGCCTCCATTCTGTTCTGATCAGCACAATCTCAGATAGTTGTTCCCCTGTCCGCTTCCTAGATTTTGCCTTTATTTTAGGTTTTTGACATTTTGACGGTGATTATCTCGGGTGTGGTTTTCTGACTTCTTGAACTTGAATATTTATGTCTTTTACCAAATGTGGGGAATTTGCGGGCATTATTTCTTCAAATATTTTGCTGCTTTACTGTTTCTGCTCTGCTTTGGGACCCCGATTCCACACATGTAGACCTTTTGCTGGATGTCCCGGATTTGCTCATGGCTTTCTAACCTGGTCCCCGCTCTGTTCTTCAGGTTGAATGGCGTCTGCTGTGTCCTAAATGTTCACTGTCTGCCTCTCTACTCTCTTGTTCGTCCCCGTGCAACAAGTTTTTAGTTTGAGAATTATTTTCAGTTCTAGAATTTGTTTCAGTTAAACATTTTTAGTTCTTAGCTAAGACTTTATATTTGTTCATTCACTACAAGAATATTTTTCTTTATATCCTTTAGCAATAATTAGAATCACTGCGTTAAGGTTCCATCTGCTGATTCTTGTATTGTGAGGATGGGTTATGTCTTTGTGATTCTTTTTATTTCTAGTGACTTTGAATTGGGTCCTGTTTACTGTAGGTTGTAGACTCTTGATCATGTTAGGTTTCTAGTGACTTTGAATTGGGTCCTGTTTACGTGGGTTGGAGACTCTTGACCATGTTAGGTTTCTAGTGACTTTGAATTGGGTCCTGTTTACTGTGGGTTGGAGACTCTTGACCATGTTAGGTTTCTAGTGACTTTGAATTGGGTCCTGTTTACTGTGGGTTGGAGACTTGATCATGTTAG